GTAAATGTCTTTAAGAGAGCCCGTCTTAGTGGCTTGCGAAAGTGTAATTTCTGCCTTTATCTTGTATTTTTCTTTTTACTGGGGAATATATTGGATATATAGTGAACTCCATTTTTCCATGTCTACATCAGATAAAATTACATTGTTGTCTTTGCTGGAAGCTAGATTCCCCCTCTTGCCCTCCCCCTCCGCCAGTCACAGGCTTTGTCCTTTATTGTAGAGAGTTCAATGTATCTTTGGTTGCTTTTTCTCTTCATTTACCCTTCTAGCTTCAAAGAGAGAACAGTTGAGAGGCAGCTCCTTCAATAGCTTCTTGCAATTTGGTCTTGTCTTCCCAGTTGTCTCCCAGGCTTGTGTGCAGTGTTCTCTCAGGGAAGTGTTATCTAATCATTGTGCTGCTACAGCCGGTATCTTATTTCTCTAAAAGTTTTGTAGATTAATTTTTAGAATGCTGCTTTTTTTTATCCCTTGTCATTATTCTTAAATTGAGCTTATTTAGCAACACATAGGGCTGTTTGGTTTTTTAACTGAGATTTTAATTTGTTTCAAAAAGCTTTTTGCTGTTTGATTCTTTTCAGAAATGCAGTTGAGGAATAGCTGATCATCTAAAACTAACCACTGTGTATTTAGTTAGCTAGCAGTTTGCGTTTCTGAGCTTCGTTTTCAGTGGTGGCCTGCCATCTGCTTGCTGTACTGGAATAATTTGTGGAGGTCATGTGACCTCAGCCAAAGCTGAACTGTTTAGTTTTTTTATGTACTTTTCAGTCTCTGATTAATTCCTGCTCTGCTCACTTTGATATTCTGCTCTTTTCTGTATAAGGTTATTCTTCCCCTAGCTGCTCTACAGACTCCTGGTCTCCTTGAAATGTTAAAAATTACCTTAAGCCTCCTGATCTTACAAGAAGAGAGGGACTACACAGCTTTAAAAGTTAAAAAGATTGTTGCAGAGCACTTTTATTATAACCTCAGCAGGTGGTTAGATATGTTTGTCTAATAAAAAACTTAAAACATTAATAACTACAAGGAGTTTAACAGGCCAAAAGAGTGAAACAATACTCTGCAGAAAGTAAGAGTTAATCCTGGAAATAATTAAAAATAAAGGGAATTTGAATGGCTTCTGAGGTGGTGTAATACAAAAAGTTGTGTAATAACAGCATTTGACTAGCATTTGAGATACAGACATAATTATTTTATATTTCAAATGTGTTTAAAATTTGTCATCTGGTTTCTTACAGAGCTGATCCTTTATCCAACATGGTTCTTACTTTCTCTACTAAAGAAGATGCCATTGCCTTTGCTGAAAAAAATGGTATGTATTGTACATATTGAGTATGAGGGATTCAGCTTTCTATAGGCAATCTTGATCTCAAAGTATTAACAACAGAAAAATTACAGGATAAAGAACCTTCCCTCTGTTCCACAAAATTGGTAGACCATTAGTGCTCTACTTGAAGAAAACAGGGGGAGTATTTCTGAGGTGCTGAGGGAATTGAATCTAGGCCTTCCGCTTTCTGGAAGAGTGTTCCAGCCTCTTAGCATTACTATTGCAATTCTTTTGCAAGTATCTGTGTTTTGAATGAGAACTGAGCCTTGCGCAGGTCTTGGAGGAAAATTAATATTAATACTTTAAGAGTGACCCAGGCTGGGGGTCCCAGCTACATGGCAGTGGGATTTTTGCCTGAAGGCTTGACATGACCATCTGACTTCTAGTTAAGGAAAGACTGTCAGAACCCTTGTGAATGTTTGATAATCAGAAAAACTAAAATTAAGTGACTACCAGGTAAGTATGTTGGACTTTAGTTTTGGCCATGTTGCAGGATGGATTTATCGTAGAATCGTAGGCTATCTCCAGTTGGAAGGGATCTATAAGGATCATTGAGTCCAACTCCCTGCTCCTCGCAGATCTACCTAAGACTAAGCCATATGACTAAGTGCGTTGTCCAGACACTCCTGAACTCTGATGGGGCTGGTGCCATGACCACTTGGAGCCTGTTCCAGGGACCGACCACCCTCTCAGTGAAGAACCTTTTCCTAATGTCCAGCCTGACCGTCCCCTGATGCAGCTTTATTCTATCTCCTCATGTCCTGTCTGTGATCACCAGAGAGAGGAGATCAGCACCTCCCCCTGCGCTGCCCCCCGTGAGGAAGGTGTAGATTGAGGAAGTTATACCTAACTCTTCCCAAGTACAATACTGAAGTCTAAACACTTACACTTGATGATTGTTCATATTTGAGAAAAAGATAGTAGAAAAGCCAGTACCATTACTTAGTATTTTAATGCTAATGATGTATCAGAAGGACTGTATCTGTAAACTTACTTGGTTACTTAGGTTTGTATCTTCTCACAGAATTATGGTACTGCAAGCAATATCCATAACCACAGCCTTTTGAATATTCAGCAGTCCTTTTATGTGTTGGTATGAATTTTTCTCTGCCTTTTTTTTTTTTTAATCAGTTTCATTTTTCTTAAAGAGTTAGGCTTGATGCTTAGCGCTCAGGGATGTGAGGAAGATTATTTGCACTGGGTTAAAGCCAGGAATAATGCACATGGAGTGTAAGCTTCTTCAGAAGCCTTCCCTGTGGTCTACAGCTTTCAACTATATTTAGTCTGCAGTAAACAGATAGTCAAGTTTCTTGGTCAGACCAAATTGTGCAGAGTTGATAGATGACTTATGTTGTACACCCAAAAAACAGGGTAAGTCCATTAATTTATACAATTAGGAAGCTAAACCATTTAATGTGCAGTTTATTTGCACTTTTTAATGGTAAAGACTAATATTTAATTCCTCTGTTCCTCTTTGAGCAGATTTTTTTTAACTTAATAGTCTTAATTTTATTGACAAATAAATTGTATTCACTAAGAAATTAATAGGATCATCATATTTGCATTGGATATACCAATTACTGTGCAATTTTAATAGTATTTTGTAATGTTTTATGAACAAATATGAAATTTGGGAGAATCTGGTGTTGCTTTACTTATGCTTCTGTATTGTTCATGCTATTTCTGTTTCTTGGGAAATTCAGCCTGCAAGAGAGAGAAGCTGAATCCTGGCCTATATATCACTATATTAATGAGCTACTTCAGTCATCTCTTTGGACACATTATATTTTGTCCTTTTGAAATGCAGATTGAAGTAAAATACTTGATTTGTTCAGTGAAGGAAGTTTATGCCTTCACTGAACTAGTAATGAATCTCCATTGTGCCGGAAAACTACAAAGAAATGCTACCAACTAAACTAAGGCTGTGACTTAATATTAATGTTATTAGTTCAATATTCACTTCACTTGCACCCTTCATTTTACCATAATTGAGATGCAGCATACTTTTCTGCAGATGGTGGCTTGCCTAAATTATTACTCCAGTTTTATTTAAGGTGGCTTAGTTTTATGAATATGATATATGCATAATATTTTCTGTAGTAATAGCTTCAGTATCAGATGTGGCTGGGAAGATAAATTTCTCAATATTTAGTTCTGCTTTTAGAAAGAAATGAGAACCTTAGGCACACATTTACAATGGGACTTAGTTTCCAAACTGAGGTGTTACTGAAACATGTTTAAGTCTAGGAACACAAATATTTACCTCTCTGCCCTTCCCATATGAACCGCCCAAGTTTTCCATTACAAAATTCCCTAAGAACATCCTTTCATTTCTGCAAACCCTAGATTTTGCAGGTATTTTTATATGATTGTGAAACCTGAGAGTTCTTTCTCACCTTAGCACTTCAGGAACCCAAGGCAAGCTATCTTTCTGCATAGCCCATCTGATGTGTTTTCTAATGTAGGAATAAGAGCACTGAATACAGTAACGGCAGAGATCTCTGTCTGAAATATGACAGCTGAGGATGGTCTGAAGTCAACGCAAGGAGAAAACGCTTGTAACTGGATGAAACCGAAAGTTTAGCCAGTTGACCTAAACTCTTTTTTGTCCTGTCCGACATCACCAAGGCAGTTGTTTAAAAACATAACAGCTTTAGTAACAAGACCAGAGAGTTTTCTACTCCACAATAATCTTTAGTCAGGTGATGAGAGTGTTCTTCCAGAGATGATGAAATCTGCTTTCTGTCCATTTGGCTTGTATGGCAGGGTTCTGGGCGAGAATAACCCACCATTGTGGTATTTTTACAAAAGTGACCTCTGCTCTCTGTCATGAACAACTGAAGGTGCCTAACTCAAGGAGGCTGTTCCAGAGTGTGAAGCCTTATCACAAAGTTAGATGTAACTAACTTTGTGGATTTTGGATAGCTACGGCAGCCCGAGTCGTTGTGCTGGCAGTTGTGAATCTCTTGGAGGCACTTGGCTCCTCTCTATCTAGTGTATAAAAAGATGAAGGAATAACTTGGGGCGGTAGATTCCATTCCAGCAGCCAAGTGCCTCAAAGTTAGGTGTTACAGTGCTGAATGTTGCAATACCAAAATCCGTCTCTGGATCTAGTTCTGGCTGTTTACTCAAGCTTATATTTTTAATCAGAACAGGAGGCAAAAGCCAGTGCTCTCACAGATGGAAAGAATATGTTTTTAAAACCTCTATTCCAGTATTTCTTACGGAGAATAGTTAACTTGGAAATTAACATTCAGCCTAATAAACATGAATAAAAAGTTTGTGTAACATTTGTGAATACACAAAATTGAGGCACAGTGATGTGACAATTTCTGTATGTTATGGAACATGTTTTGATGTGTAGATATATCTTGAGTGTTTTCTGTGAACATCGTAAATATAAAAATTCAGATATATGTTAAACCTTTTAGGACTTAGCAAATTTTTGTTTTAAAACTAAGGAAGACAAGTATCTTATTAGTGTCTGCTAAAACTGCATACTTAACCACTTCTAGCTTCAACTCAGGTATCTCAAATTTGAGTGAAATGTTGCAGCTAAAGAGACCAAACTTTGGAATACTGAGTGCTGCCCTGGCAATTTTCCAGGCACCTGGAGGCTGCAACCAATTTGCATTTTGATTTACATAAACACTAATGTCTCCACCTCCTCTTTTCTGACATTTTTTAGCATTTCTTTTGCTTAACTATCACATAATTTACTTGTCTTCTATCACTTCATTCCCTTTTCTTTTAGTCCTAATTTTTTATGTTCTTATAAAAATGTTAAGTATTAAACTCCTTTCTAATGCTGAAGGTTTTTTTTTGCTCTTCCTTTCTTCGGTCCTCCCACCCTTCTTTTTTTGCTAGCTTTCCAAGGTCTCAATTCTCTCCCAGTCTTTGGGATTGATCTTCTGTATGCTATTTTTTTCCACATTTCCTTATCTTTATTTTCATTTCCTGTCCCAGCATACACAAAGCCTTAGTGCTGCTGTGGTGCTATGGAGTTGTGGAGCCATGAACTTGCAGGACAGGCAATGTTCCCTTTTGAGTTTTTTGCAGGAGTAAAGAAAATGGCGGTATGTAGTACGTAGTCTTATCAACTGAGAGAATGAGCGTATGTCACATCTATGGCATTTCAGTATCCTCTTCTGCCAGTTACAAAGGATGGCTAGTGGATACCTACGCGGAGAAAAATATATTAAAGTTAAAAGATTTAAGTTGCATTTGCTCTGTATTGTAAGCTGAGAATATTTAGAATTCTCTTTGTTTCTTGTCTCCTCCCCCCACATTTCCCCTGGAACCTCCAGGCTGGAGCTATGATGTCGAAGAGAAGAAGATTCCAAAACCTAAATTCAAGTCTTACGGTGCAAACTTTTCTTGGAACAAAAGAACAAGGGTGTCTACAAAATAGGTTGGCATTGGCTGTCTCTGACTGTGAATAAAGTCAGCTGTGCTGTATTTATAGTCCATGCATAATACATCTCTTAATCTCCTAATAAATTTAACCTTTAAACTACAGATGCATTTTGTGATGTCTATTTAAAATGTTTTTGATTTCTCCAATTTAACCTGTTACAAGCTTCCCTATATAGAGAGGAGATTTGGGGTGTTCATACTTCTAAAAAAATTGCTGTACTAGGAGTCTATCAAAAGGAATGTTTGAAATCAGCTGCAACTTTAAAGATTATGGGTTATCTTTGATGGTAATTTTATATTCATTATCTTGTTTTATATTCATTATCTTGTTTAAACTTATCAGCCTTGCATATACAAATTCTCTCAAGAGGAGCTGGGGTTTTTTCTTTCTCTTTCTATACACAAGAAGTTTGTCAGTTGAAGAGCAGCGTATGATATATAAAACTTAATATTTGAGTGTAACTCAAGACTGTTCTGTATAAATGTATATTATATAACCACCGTTCTGCCCAAACTAATATTGTCATTATTCCAGAAGCATTCACGACTGGAATAGAAAGCACTGTTTTTTGTATTGGATATGGGGGAGGTTTAGTCCAAAAGATTGAGATTGCAATTGTTTCTCTGTGATGTTCTTCAAAATTGAAGCTAAGCCAGCTAAATATTCACAAATTAAGTCAGAAGAGTGTCAGGTGCCTCACACAGCATCAGCATATACTAATTACATAATTATAGTTCTATTTTTTTTTTATTGCTAGTTACCTGTGTATCTGCATTGAGGTTTCCTGTTGCCTAACAAAAGATGTGGTGATAGCATCTCAGCCTTAACATTGAATATATAGCCTAAACTCAGTTTGTCTTACATGACATTAAATCATTAATTTTAATAATGCATAATATTATGATTGGAATCCTTGGTTACATATCTGTGGCTTTTGATTTATTCACTTTAACTTTTACTTAACAAATTGAGAGATCAACACATGATCAGTGAAATCTATTACAAATTGGGGGAGGGTACACCTTTTTCATATGCAACTGAGAGTTTTATCCCAACTGTCACAAAAGAAACAGTTGAGACAGCTCTCTCCACATAGATCTAAAGAATGGTGTAAGTGCTATGCACTGAATTCTAGCTAAAAGAAGGCATAAAACTACCTTGTGTTGCCCCGATTTGATTATATTTTTGTTTCACTTTTAACCAGCTGCCCTATATGCTGGCTAACATTTGTTTAAAGCGTTGTTTTTGACCCAGTTTCAGTATAATCAACCAGTTGGCTTATGTCGCTATTTTCCTATCACAGACAAGAACTGTTACCCCGATTCATCTTCCTATTGAATTTTGAATGCTGCATTGTGCAGTGGAGCCTAAAGTCCTCCAGGACCGCGAAAGTGCACCAAACTGGAATCTTAACAGTCCAGAATCTACTGTACCTCTTTGTATTCCGGCTAAGCTTAATATGCTGATCTTACTAAGGAGATGGTAATAAGAAAAGCCATTTGTTGGTTTTTTGTTTTTTTTTCCCCCCTGTCTTTTACAAGTGAAGATCAGCAAGATCTTAATTTAATGGTCTTCAAGCTTTATAAGATTGTCAACATTATAATTGAGAAGTACTTGGATATCTAATGCAGCAAATGCACAGCTTGGTTTTTGAAATAATGTAGTCCAGGGAAATGACTGATAAATGTTAGATACCTTACATTATCTTTGGACACCTAATATATGAAATTGCTGTATGTTAATGTATACTTCCTGTAACTAGAATCAGTTTCATTTAGAGCACAGGTTCTTTTTTTTGTTTCTTCTGCTAAGATAATGGAAATACTCAAAGGAGAATTTGTTAAGTCACCTTCCCTTCCCGGGGAAGAGAGCTTTTTTTTTTTTTGCCTTTTTTTTTTTTAAATGCATATGTTTATTATAATTCTGTACTGTGCACCCCACCTTGAAGTCTTTAAGTCATGCTTGAGCCCAGACCTTCTTTTCCTTCGATCACTTTCCTAGGACTTTGAATTTTTTTCTCCTGTTAGATGGCTTCTTAAGAATGAGCATGCTGACAATGGAAGAGTTGATTATTGTCACTGTACTCTTCAAACCCTAGAAATGAAATTGAGGGGAAGAGCTTGCAGAGGACCAGTGCCAACAGGAATATATTTTAGAGATCAAAAAAAATCTCATAGATACTAAACTTCATTACCCTTTCATTAATTTATCAGAATACTACAGCACTAGGCTGGAACTGAAATTGTACAAGATGATCTGACCGTCTTAAGTACCTTCAGAAGTGAATATTTCATTGGTGAACTCCGGCTTCTATCTACAGTGTGTTATGACAGGTAAAATTGCTCCCAAATCTAGAATATGTCAAAACAAAAGGCACAACTGGTAAACTACTGTAATTAGGTTTTTTAGTATCCTCAACCGTTGATCTGAAAATGCAAATCTAAAGAGATTTTGAGGATGCAAGGCTAATACAAATGCTGAATGAGATTATAGATTCATCTTGGTGGTAGATGTAGTTGTGCTGCATCCAACTAATCAAAGCTTTTCAGGGCAGTAATATTTCAAACATCTGGAGGTATCAAAATCATTAAATGGGGGAAAGAAAAAGTTTAAAGCTCCCAAACAAATAGAACACGTTCTTCACCCAGTGGGATTTGCATGCATCTGAGGTATCTTACCACCTTACATGGCAATAACAACCAAAAGAGTAATAAAGAATTACAAGACAGTTGCATGCCAGCATTGCAGAGGAGTCTTACGTAGATGTTACATTTACATTCTTTCATTGAGCTGTGTAGATTTGGGAGGTTTTCTTTACAGTTTTGTAGCTTCTGTTATTGTGGAAAGTCTTATGCAAAAAATTAACGGGCTGATCCGAAGTAGTTTACACTCGGACTTGCGTAGATACATTGTGTGAAGTTCTGGAGGCAGAGTTCTGCTACTGGACAAAGACCTTTCCTGGTCCATAGTACCACCAGTTTTCTGAAAAAGGCTTATTATCTGTCATTGCTGTCTCAGCCAGCTATATGTCACAGTAAGAGCTGGATTATTCCTGTCAAGTCTGGGTGAAAGTTCCTTCTTTTAAGAAAGATGCAACATCATAATCTTTTTCCTCCCATATGCTACTACTTTTACTCGCAACAGCTCTACAAGCTTTTACTTGCATCAGCTCTTTTTTTTTTTTTTTTTTTTTTCCATTTCTCTTGACCACATGAAAATTTTCCTACATGAGTTTGGAAAGGTTGGCCACTCCAGTACTAGAATTTCTGTTTAAAACTAGGAATGTTTTGGTGAAATTTTAATTTTATTAATAAACCCCCTTTTTTTCATTTTACCCCACATTTGCATTTCCCCCTTCCTGCCACTTTTTCTCCAGGTTCCTTGCAATGAATTCTGTTCTGTTAAATGTATGCCTGTTTACATCCATTCAGTGATGACCCACATAAAAACAAAATCCAAACCAACCCTGTTCAGCTGTCTTCTGAATGCTCAGAGTGGTCCTAATATTTATATTTTATGGCATTTCTTTTACCTAAGCCAAATTGAAATGCTGGAAGTAAATGCTCCCCATTCTATTGCTGACTACAGATAACAGTATCTGCTTTGCAGTATAGGACTCCCTACAAAATGTGGGTGCATACCTGCGAACACTTGGATATATTTTGCGTAGTTCTGTTGTGATAAAATGACATTTCCAGGATACCAAGTTATTTTGAAGATTGGCAGCATTCGTAATTCCAATGAACAATCTTTTTATTATAACAAATGCCCTGCAACTCTCAAAATCATGATGTTGTAATGGAACCTAAAGACTGTCAGGAACCTCAACGAACTAAAAGCACAGTTTCAGATTTCTAGCAGTGTGTTCCTTTACTGTGCAGTTTGATGGATAATTTAAAACAAATCAGACTATTAAGTGATACTATGAAATGGAAAATTTAATTACCCTTATCTGCAAAGTTTTGTCATGTGGTAGAAAAGGAGAAGCTAATTTGGAATAATTTTAGCTTTTGCCTGTAATTCCACACCAGGAACTTGTGTAGTTTGGTTTTACCAGAGATAACAGTTACCTGACCGTATGTTTGGTTACTGGGCATGCCAACATATTTTGTTACTGCAAAAAGAAAAAAAGTGCAAGTAAAGAAACCTGAAATAACCTAAAAAAATAATTTTAGGAAGTTGTAAGTTATGTTATGTCTGGTCAGGCAGCTTGCTTTGATAAGTCCTTGTTCTTATTCCTACATTCTGAGAGGGATTTATTTTTACTTGGTACTTCATTAATGCTGGAGTATATCACCAACATCACAAGATTGCTGAAATAAATGTGCCTACAGCAACCTAATAGAACAAAAAAAAAAAGGCAAATTATTTTGAAATGGTATTAAAATATCTATTTCAGTTGGATTTAAAATATTGATTCTTCACATCCACATTCATCATGAGGGAACGTAGAAAGGTCCCTGGCTTGAAACTTTCCTGCACAGAAAATGTGAATGAAAACCTTTTTGGATAAGTTGATGAGAATAAATATAAAGGTCAGACAGTAGTCTGGTGAGGGTCCTGAAGGAATTAAAATTTGAAACCATGTAACTATTATCTGTAGCTTAAACATTTTGCTTAAAACTCTACCTGAATAATAGGTGGCAGGTTTGGGGTTTTGGTTTATTAGGTTTTGGGCGGTTTTTCCCCCCAACAAAGTCTCTATAAAGAGTGCTGTGAACAGATATGATATAAAAATGATGCGTCAGTTTAGCTATTTTAGATGTAATTCGCTTTTATGTTCTTCAGAGGAGTTGGTGAATATGGGGACAAGATGATTCAAGTAGTCCATTTGGATTTACAGAGGGCTTTCAAAAAGGTCTCTTATCAAGTTACAGAGAGAGGCAACAGCATACTTAAAGACATAGGTATCTTTTGTTTGAGGAGCAAATCTGTAGGGTGGAATTAGCTCTTCCATCTGCAGGAGAGAGTGGCCTCTAAAATCACAAGTGGTGCAGAGAATACTGTATAATCCCTGGTTTTCCTACAAAGGCAGATCAACAAACTCATGAGGATGCAGCTTAAAAATATATGAGTACATTTTCACATAGCAGATTTTTAA